AGCAGACACCAGGTAAATAACGCGAGTCCTGCATTAGAGCACGGGCTGCCACCTTTCCTGCGAGCAGGTTCCCACTGAATGCACGGAGCACTCTCCCCTTCCTCCACACACCCACAAAGGCCCAGCACATGCCAGGCGCACTTCCGGGTGCTTGGAGGCTCAGCAAGACGCTCCCTGCTGCTGAGGCGCCCTTGGGCAGACCCGCAGCCTGGAAGATGAGAGTGAGAAATGAACTGTGTGCAAGAGGCAATGGAAACTGAAATCTTCCAACAGTCATTTCACCTCGAATCTTTCCTTTAAGGTAGAAATTCAATATAATGACAGGCTCTCCAAGTATCATTTCAAGAAATGTTAATCATGATACGGAATGCACTGCTTGATTTTTTGGTTCATTCAAGACCGTTTATTATAAAACAAACTCACGCCTCCGAATATTTCTACCCTTGGGCAGCAATGGGAGATATTTTGAGAAGTTAAATGACCTCGTGTCAGTCCTCCTACAAAACGAGGATCCTTGACAGTGGGAACACCCAAAACTCCGTAGGAAGATGGAGACAGCTGACGAGACCATGTTCTGATCCTGATGTTTGCATCGCTAGGAGTGGCAAACCACAACTAAATAAGCACTTCTGCGGCGAACGCAGTGCTGGCAGGTACAGCTAATTCTCAACTGAGTCTTCGAAAGCCACTGGGTGGGACGACAGAGTCCACGCAGAGGAGGGACAGGCATGCAAGTTAAGCCAGGAAGCTGGCGCCCAGGAGCAGACCCATTCCCTGGCCTAGGACACCAAGCCAAGCATGGGGTCAGGCACTAGGGACACAGAGGCAACTCCCAAAGCTGTTACAGGAGTGGCAGGTGACACCCTCAGGGTGTGGCTGAAGCTGGGATGGTGGAAAGCAGGCTCTGGTGGGTCGACCAGGGAGGAAAGATTTTTCTCACCCAAACCATAGCCCTCAGCCAGGCGCGGTGGCTCACGCCTGTAAGCCCAGCACTCTGGGAGGCCGAGGTGAGAGGACTGCCTAAACCCATGGGTTTGAGACCAGCCCTGACAACTTGGCAAGACCTCATCTCTACAATAAATTTTAAAAAAAAATCAGCCAGGCATGGTAGCGCATACCTGTAGTTCCAGCTACTTGGAAGGCTGAGGCGGAAGGATCGCCTGAGCCCAACAGGTCAAGGCTGGGGTGGCCAGGAGGTGCCACTGCACTCCAGCCTGGGCGACAGAGTGAGAGGCTGACTCTAAAAAACCAAAACCAAAAACAGAAAAAGCCACAACCCTCTTATGTGAGCTCTCACACAGATCACCCAGGACACTCAACTGGCCAAGCCACACAGGCCCCTCATCCCTCTGATGTGGAGGAGGAGCAAAGGCTTTCTGCTCAGGCGGTGAGTGACCCAGCCCTGCAACGGACCACATGTTACACTCCACAAGCACACTGCAGGCCCACAACGCACATGCCACTCGGAGGTAGGTCCAGCTAGCTGTTAAGGGTGTGCACAGGGCTTCTGGGAAGGTGGTGTGATGGAGCAGAAAAGGCAAAGGCCCCAGAGGAGGCCAACGTGGAACGTTCACTAAGGTGTGATGCTGGCGAAGTGACTTCCTCTATGCTCAGAAATAGGCACACCTGCTTCCAAGCTGTGACGAGCAAAGCCATGAGTGTTTCTCAGTGGTAGCTCCTGGGGTAGGTTCTAAGCAAGGTCTGGTCTTTCCCTTTGCTTTTGCCCCGCTCCCCACCCTGTTTCTAATCTGAGGCTTTACCTGTTAGCACCCAACAAAGATCCTGAATCACTGCAGATCAATAAACGTTGACTCAAATGATAAATCATGAATATAGGTCTTCTTGTGCTTAGTTCAACTTAAATATTTGTTAAGGACTTACTGTGTGCCCAGCCCTGTGCTGGAGCTGCAAATACAGCATTCCAGCTGGTGCTTACACTCGCAAACAATCAGACCTCATCAAGAGGGAGCCAACACCTGCAGAGCCTCATCAAAGCTCGGTGGACAGCACTGTATGCCCCAGGCACCAGGAACGTCACAGCATAAAGGTCTCGGCAGTGATGCACCCTGGAATGTCCTTCCAATTTACACACGCCACACTCCGCCTCACTTCTCAGTACAGACAAGTCTGACTCGTGTTCTGCACCCTGCAGGGGCCTCAACGTGTCGACGCTACCTCTGGAACCAGAGCTACGGGACTCATGGGTTATGCTGCCTGATAATGAAATCTCTTAGAACAAACTCTGAGGGAAAGTGCACAGCTCTGGAGCCAGGCAGACCTGAGTCTGAACATCAGCCCTGCCATCCAGCTAGCCACATGACCTGGGCAAGGCCCTCTGCCACTCGGAGCTTCAGCTGTCTCATCTGTAAGACAGAGGTGTTACGATGTGCTTGAAGGAACCATTCCAAGAGTTAAACAAGACCATGTGTGAAAAGCACTTAATAAATGTGGGTGCCTACCACCTCTGTCCCCGTGTGGATTATGGCCATCTTCAGGCTGGTACAGAAACAGACAGAGGCACCCTCCAGGCCTGAGCTTTTCACACTGCCAGGTGTAGCCCAGCCAACAACCAGTGGATTGTGACAGCAGCAAGACGAGATCATCACCAGCATTTTGTGAATAAACAGAATAGACCATGATATTTCAGAATGCTTCCTACACAGCCACTTCTGTTCCCAGCACAAACACGTATTGAGTTTCCATACACAAGTACCTAAAATTTATTTCCTTTCACAAGTCAGAGTGAGAAAAAGTGCTAAAGTTGCACTTCCAGCCGAGAATGCGAAGACTCTACTCGGAAGCCCTAAAAACAGACGAGGCAGAAGCTGAAGACTCTGGTCCTGTCTGAACCCTCTCCCTTCCTGAGACCCTCCTCCAGTGTCATGGGTTCCAGGTTAGGGAATCCAAGGGGTAAGAGTTCACAGTCAAATGAACACCGCAGGACAGCCTTTGCAGAAGTCAAATGCTCACAGGTATGAACAAATCACCACGTGCTGAATAAAGGTGCCCTTTAAAGTGGGCCCCAAACACTCCCACCCAGCACAACCAGAAAGGCCAGCCCAGCATCCCTGCCAGTGGCCAATTCACAGGCCGACATTCATTGGCTTCAGCTACAAGCTTCAACCTACAAACCCTTGTCATTCAAGGAAAAAGATCAGTGGAGTCAGTCTCAGGTTCTAAGGCAGAAGCAACAAACACCAAGAATCCCAAAGGCTCATTCTCAAGGGTACAGACAAGTCAGCTTTATTTAAGGGATTTAGCCTCATTTCAAATGATACTTGAGCCGGGCTCGGTGGCTCAGTCTGTAATCCCGCGCCTTAGGAGGCTGAGGTGAGTGGATGGCCTGAGCCCGTGGGTTCGAGACCCGCCTGAGAAACTTGGTGAGACCTCATCTCTACAATAAATCAAAAAACTTAGCTGGGTGTGGTAGTGCGTGCCTGTAGTTCCAGCTACTTGGAAGGCTGAGGCGGAAGGATCGCCGGAGGCCAGCAGGTCGAGGTTGCGGTGGCCGGGAGCGTGCCACTGCCCTCCAGCCTGAGTGACAGAGTGAGACTCCAACTCAAAAAAATGCACTAGTTGGGCTCGGTGGCTCACCCTGAATCCCGCACCTTTGGAGTGAGTGAGTGATTGCAAAACAAAACAAAAAAATCAAATGATACCTGAATTTTACCAAGTAGAGGAACTTTTCCCTCCAGAAAGTGGGGGAAGCGAGTGAGAAGAAGAAACAAGCCAGCGATCTATTCACAGGGAGTCACAGTCAAAGCCTCAACGAGGGTCACTGGCCAAGAAACAACTTTCCTTCTGCAGAGCCCCTTCCCTAAGCCAGGGGCGGTGCTGCAAATGGGGGCTCAGAGAGGCTCCACGGCCCTCACCCAAGCCAGGGAAGGCCAGGCTGGGGCTACTGGATGTGGAGGCGAGCTCTTCCCACCATATGACCTGAGAGGCGGCCCCTTTTGCCACACGGGCTCCCCAGCCCTCGCACCTGGCTCTGAGAGCTCTCTGGGGCAACAACCACACCCCCTCCTCGGCAACCACATCACCCTGGCACCAAGACCTGCCTAATCTACTACTCTCCAGGATTCTCTAGTTTCCGGAACTCTCTCGACCCTCTCATCTGTGTGTCTTGGGATGCCTCCACTTACGTATCGCACAGACAGCTCAAAATCGTCATGTCCCAAAGTAGAAGCCACTAACCGCCCTTGTGAAAGCTGCTCCCTCTGTGCCTTGGATCTCGGCTGGGGGCACCCTTAAAACCCTCACCAGCCTGCGGTTTGACTACGATTCCGTGCCACAGCCACAAAGCTGCCAGTGTCTCTCTTCGACCCCAGGCTCTCCTGCCTCCCAAGTAACTTAAAACTCACAGATGGATCTGCCCCATCCTCAACCCAAGCAAAAGCCTGCCACCACCCCCGGACCAAGCTCGTCCACCGGCGTCTAAGACCCACCACGACTTGGCCTCTCGGCCGCCTCACCCGCCATGCTCTCCCCTTTACTTTTGGCCCACACCACCAGCCCTTGCCACAGCTCCTGCCAATTCTGGAAAAGCACGTGCTGCCCCTCCCCCTCAGGCCTGGCTCGAGCTCCGCTGTTCCGTCCGTGTACTCTGACACCCAGAGCTGGGTCCAGGGCTGTCCTCCCTCCCTCCTGGCCAAGGCAACAAGTGCCGCATGCTCGACAGCACCCACAGACACATGCGTCTCCCATGAGCTGAGAGCCCACAGACAAATGCTGGGCCTTGTGTCACCACCCGTCTCCACACCAGCTCAGAGCCTGTGCAGTCCTGGTGCTCAGACACATCCCCTTTAGCGAATGGAGAAAAAGTCCCTGGGAAACAACGGGGTTCAACACACTCTTTCTCCCCTTGAGGGAATTCAGAAGGACCAGTTAGAGGGAAGTCTGGAAAGAGGGACATGGGAACTGAGTGAAGCCCAAGAGGACAAGAAAAATGAAGGCACAGGTGGAGAAAATGCCCTGAAAATGTAAAGAAAATTCAGTCTTACCAATCAATTAGGTAGATGTCTGGAGTTAAGTTGTTCTTCTTGAAATGAGCAAATAATTTTGGCAAGTTTTCTTCAAAGAACACCTCAAATGCAGCAAAATAAGTCAACATCTAGGGAGATAATGTGAAACAGACTAATAAACCAATTATCAGCACAAGTTCCCAATTTACCAAAAAGACGCTGTATTTATGCCCTCAGATTCTCTTCTTACGTGTACTCACTAGCACATCTTGAACGGCAGTCCCACTGTAGGCAGTACACAGGCAAAGTCTAAAAAAGCACAACTTCTAGTCTTTGCAATAACATCATTAGCTACATCTTATCAGTCTTCCATTTTCAAAAGAGCCCAGAGCAGGCGCGGAACCAGCCAAGGAAAGGCACCGCCTGAGTACATGGGGAAACTGGGACTGAGCCCATGCCGCCCCTCTGCAGAGGCCAGGCCGCTTCAGGCTCACGCCTTCCTGAGAGCCAGGCGTGCAGGGACTATCTAAAACTACCTGGAAAACCATGCATGCCACCCCTGGCCCCTGGCACTTCCAGAGGGACGGCACTACTCACATCTGAGGCAAGGGCACACTGCGCCAGCTGAAAGACACAGACCTTCAATGTAATGAGGGAGAAAACCCTCAAAGACAAGTCACAGCCTGGAGTTTACTAGAACTTGCTTTCCAACTTTTAATAGGTTTTGTAAGAAAACGAAACCCACAAAGCCTGGGAGCAGCACTCAGAGGAACAGAACTCTCACTGGACGGAAGAGGCACATCTGACGATGGCCCAGTTCTGGTCTACTGTCCACCAGCCGAAGCGTGGGCTAGATCCCAAGTCTGATCTAGTTTGCTCATCTTGACAAGGGGCTGTACTGTAGACCAGTGGCTCCCCACAGGGCAAGTTTGCCTCCCAGGGAACTCCTGCAGTGTCTGGAGATACTTCTCTGGTCCTCACGACTGGGTGGGGGAGGGCTACTCGTATTGGTGTGTGGAGGCAGGGTGCTGCTCACCGTCCTCCAGTGAATGAGACAGCCCCCCAGAGCTACCTAGCCCAAATGTCAACAGTGTCGCTGGTGAGAAACCCTGCTGTAAAGAAAGACTCCACTCAACATTACCAAGCTACGATTTTTCCTAAAAATATAAACTAAAATTCCTAAATACGGTTTCTAGCATATGTTTCCAAAGAGAAAGCTGGGGTCTTACCTTCAAAATCAGCAAAAATTTAAATGGGAATCATTTTATATATAAAAAGATAAAATTTATAGCCAGGAATTGTTTCCAGGAATTAATATAAGAAGCAATGTATATTAGTATCAATGAATTATTTAAAGTATAAGAATTGGCTGGGCACAGTGGCTCATGCTATAATCCCAGCATTCTGGGGGGATTCCTTGAGGCCAGTTTGTTCGTGACCAGCCTGGGCAACATAGCAAGATCCCATATCTCTACAAGAAATCAAAAAATTAGCTACATGTGGCAGCACACGCCTGTAGTCCCAGCTACTTGGGATGTTAAGGAGGGAGGCTCACCTGAGCCCAGGAAGTCAAGGCTGCAGTGAGTTGTGATCACGTCTGCCTCTGTACTCCAGCGTGGGCAACAGAGTGAGACATCACTCAAAAATAAATTAAATTAAATTAAATTAAATTAAATTAAAATAAAAGGTAATTTCAGCTTCTGACCATTTTTTTTCTTGGAAAGGTAAGAAAACTTTTAAACCTGACTGTGAAAGTAATATGTATAAATGCTCAAGTAGAAAACTTAGAAAATATATAAACTAGCCAGGCACGGTGGCTCACGCCTATAATCCCAATACTTTGGGAGGTGGAGGCGAGAGGACTGCCTGAGCAGTGGGTTCAAGACCTCGTCTCTACAATAAATAAATAATTAGCTGGGCGTGATGGCGCACACCTGTAGTTCTAGCTACTTGGAAGGCTGAGGCAAAAGGATTGCCTGAGCACAGCAGGTCAAGGCTGTGGTGGCTGTGAGCAGAAACAGAGTGAGACTCCGACTCAAAAAAAAAGGAAATGCGTAAACATTATTAATCCACAAATCCATACTAATTTTGCAGCACATTTCCTTTTCTTGTTATGTATAGTAGCCACTATTCTATTTTACATACTTAAAAAAAGTTTAACATTTTATGTAAAACACTTTCCCACATTGCAGCTCTCTGCAAACATCACTATTGCATTGGATATATTATTAGGTGTTAATTAACATTCTGTATCCCCCTTAGCCCCACTTTAAACTGTTTTCATAGTCACTATCATAAATGTGCATTGACTATCTTTGTACATAATGCTTTTTCTACGTTATCACTTTCTTAGAATTGATTCTTATAAGCAGAGTTGCATACTAGTGTTATTCACATCTACTGGTACTTAATACCAGACTGTCTACCAAAAGACTCTGCCAATTTATACTCCCCTAATAGCCATCAGTCTAGCAAAAGTTTCTAAATACTTTTTTAAAAAATGCACCTACTGCCCTGAGCAAGAAATACTCAGGAATCATAAGATATTAAGGAAAAAATATTTCCTAGCTTATCTAAACTATTAGATTGTTTCGGTTTTGACGTATTAGTGATAATTATTGGCAAATTATCAGCAAATCAAGACAATGCTAATTTAGAAGCCAATGAGTTTCTCTTCTGAATCTTCTTCTAAAAGAAAAAGAGGCTGATGGGTCTGTTAATTTGGTGACTTTCCATAGACTACAGAAAGAACAAAGGCTTAGGATTCAAATCTACGCTCTTCCACTTGCTAGATGCATGCCTTGGGTAAGTCACTTCACTCTGACCCTGGTTTCCTCAGCAGGACCATGCAGAGGACTCATCTGCTGAAGTACTAAGGGGCTTCTCCAGGGCACCGACAGTCACCTCCTTTCATTTATTCATTGACTCATCTACAGCAGGATATTAAACAAACTGCTGCCCTTTTTAAAAATAAAGGAGGCTGGGCGTGGTGCCTCAAGCCTGTCATCCCAGCACTTTGGGAGGCTGAGGTGAGGAGATTGCCTGAGCCCATGGGTTTGAGATCAGCCCGGGCAACTTGGCGAGACCTCATCTCTACAATAAATCAAAAATCAGCCGGGTTTGGTAACGCACGCCGGTAGTTCCTGCTACTCGGAAGGCTGAGGCAGAAGGATCGCCGGAGTCCAGCAGGTCGACACTGGGGTGGCTGTGAGCAGGCCACTGCACTCCAGCCTGGGCGACGGAGTGAGATTCCAACTCAAAAAAAAAAAGAAGCAGGGTTTTAGTTTTTTTTTTGAGTTGGAGTCTCACTCTGTCACTCAGACTGGAATGCAGTGGCCACTCCCAGTCACCGCAGCCTCGACCTGCTGGGCTCCGGCGATCCTTCCGCCTCAGCCTTCCGAGCAGCAGGAACTACCGGTGCGCGCTACCAAACCCCGCTAATTTTTTGATTTATTGTAGAAATGAGGTCTCGCCAAGTTGCCCGGGCGGGTCTCGAACCCGCAGGCTCAGGCAATCCACTCACCTCAGCCTCCCAAAGGTGCGGGATTACAGGCTGAGCCACCGAGCCTGGCTAGAAGCAGGGTCTTAAATCAGTCTCTCTCTCCAGCATTGGCACATGCAGAGCCCCAGTGTGGCTTTGACCAGCAGCGCAGTCTAATTATGAGATGTGCTATTTCACAGACCCAAACATGGATACTGCCACATAGCTCTGCCTGACACTGAGTGTGCATATTGATGCAGGGACCAGCCCCCCTCCCTCCCTCATGTCCCTCCCTCCCACATTTTCAGAAATATAGGGACTATCTTTCCAAAAGACTGCATTAAGAAATTCACACATACTTAAGTTCAACGGAATGCCCAGATAACCCTCCGCCTTCAAGTGCTACTTACTCTCAACATCTCTTCCTAAAGAGAAAGCACGTTCTTTTTTCCCACCGAAAAGACACACACCCCAGGGCAGGTATACAGAGAATACTCACAAGGCCATGGTCCACTCGAAAAAATGCCATTTGACAGGGTTTATTCAAAAGATTAGAAAAAGCAATGAAGGCATCTGCAGTATCTAAGTTCAAGATCAACACCGCTGCTACAAATGACATACCCTGCACCTGAGGAAGGAGAGAAAGGTATGTTAAACTAACAGTGGCCACCAAGGTCAGAGCAGCTCGTTCATTTCATCAGAGGGGATCCAAACATCCTCACTTCAGAAGGGTCCATGCAGCCACGCTCCCGCCACCACTCAGCACCACCACTCAGACACATCAGCTACCCAGTCAGCTCTCCTATCCACTAATGGGAAACCATAAACCAGCCCTCCCAGGCACTCTTCACTTAAAAGACTGTCCTGTTGTATGTCTAGTGTCTTGGTGCTGTACACATATATATCTAGCCTAATGTGCTTAACAGAAAACCATGTACATGCCGCAGAAATATCAGCAGATTTTAAAAATGATTACTGCTTTTATAATGGTTAAAGCTTTTGTAACATAGGAAAAAAATAACATGCAAAAAATGAAAATCACATCCAATTAAAATGTAATTAATGCCACAGAACAGCCACATCATCGCCATCTCTTTATGAGAAAACTGAGTCAATTCACTTACCATGAGACTTTTCATACTTGTCAACAACAAAAAAAATGAGTGCACTGACTTGACATCGACAGCTAAAATGTGCTGGATAATACATGACTTTCTTTTTAGATAATAACATTATAAAATACTGAGAAACTTCACTTACATAACCCACATCCGGTCGGTAACAAGTGTAAGCGCCCAAAATACTGTGCAACATGTCATGATATGGACCACCCTAAAAGGATCAACACACCAAAAACAACACATGCATAAGTATTGTTAGTGCTCAGAAAACACTTGATACTACTGTTACTACCACACCAGACACACCTATAGTTTTCAGAGGAGGAACTATTTGCCAAGCATTATACTAACAGCTTATATGCATTCTGGACTTCGACAAACTACCTACCAATTCCCAGCTTAGGAAGTCTACAACTCAATCTATGACCCCGCTTTGAAAAAAGTTCACAGGCCAGGCACAAGCATCACCCTGGAGAAATGCCATTCATTTGGCTCCTGCTATGTGACTGTGCTCCCCTCCGAAGTTCACCACGCTGGGGGCTCCCAAACCAGGTGGGTGCTCACTGTCATTCAGACTGTCTCCCCACTTACCCCTCGTGATCCTCCTTTCTGCCTCCCCTCCCTGGCCTATAGTTCTCTTTTTGGCTTTTGTGTTTTTCTGAATGGTAGGTGTAGAAAACATACTTGAAGTCTTGAGTTCTAGTAGCTACCACTTCATTTCAAACATTTTCCCAGCTCCCCCATCTCTCCAAGATTTCCATTTGCTCCTGTAACTACTTCCCAAAATTAAGTGCTGGAAATTTTTTTCCTCCAACCGAGCACAGAAGAAAGTGCAGAGATGCTTCACATTGATATTAGCGTGTCAGAAGACTACAAAAGGGATGGCTCTGTCCAAATCAAACACTTGCTGGCCATGTCTACCACGTACCTGCAGTTAACACAAAAAATAAAACTCATACGAGGGAGGTGACCAAGGAAGTCACTCCACAGACAGCTTACCAAAGAATGCCATGGGGCTGGGTGCGGGGGCTCATGCCTATAATCAATCCCAGCACTTGGGAAGCTGAGGCAGGAGAACTGTTTGAGGCCAGAGGTTTGAGAACAGCCTGCATAACAAAGCGAGGCCTCACAGCTACAAAAAACCAAAAAATTAGCTGGGCGTGGCGGTGTGCGCTGTAGTCCCAGTCCCTTGGGATGCTGTGACAAAAGGACAGCCTGAGCCTAGAAGGCTGAGGCTATGGTGAGCCGTGATCATGCCACTGCACTCCAGCCTGGCTGTCAGAGGGAGACTTGGACTCAAAATAACCAAAAAAAGAAAGCCATGGTGCAGATCTGCACATTCACACACATTATATAATAATAATACACACATAATAATATATATATATTACTATATCAGAAATAATCAGAGTGTGTGTATCAGAAAATGATGGTCCAGGGAGCCATGGCATCTTTTTTTCCTCACTGTAGCCTCGACCTTCTGGACTCAGGTGATCTTTCTGCCTCAGCCACCCGAGCTGCTAGGACTACAGGCACATTCTAACACGTTAAAAAACCTAAAAAGAGACACTTCCAAATCACAGCAGGACAAAGGAAGAGAAACCAGCCACGAGAAGGTGAGATGACGGCAACCAGGGCTGAGGGTGGGGGGCTTCTGCAGTGGCACCACATGCCAGCCGAAGGACCAGTGTGGCTGCAACAGAGTTGTATGCAGGCCACAGCCAGATGAGAAAAGCCAGAGGAACACACGAAACTTTTCTTAAAACCAGATTTGTCAACATAAAAGACCTCCTGCTACTGTCATTGCCCGCTTCCTTCTCACTCTGGTAACTTGTTTCAGGCATCCCAGCTTCCCCGTCCTCCCTTCCCACTGCCCGTTTTGAAAATTACCCGCTTTTGAAAACTGCAACTTGGGGAACCGCAGACTGCGGAGACACATGCCGAGGAACCCAGCGAGAAAGAGAAAAGGCAAGCTCTTCCTCCTCTGTCCCCCACCTCCCCCAAGAGAGATCCCCACAGCTCCAGCTCCTCCTCTTCCAAGCACATCTTTCTACGCCCAGACGATCGCCCGATAATTCCCGCATCCTGGAGGCTCTGAGAGGAACACCCGCCGGGCCCGTGTGTGGAAGCTCAGCCTGGGCTCCTGCAGGGCATCCGCCTTCTGGGCTCCGACCACTCGAGGGGCAGACCACAGGGACCCCGACCCTCAACGGCCAAGAGACCAGAAGCATGCACACAACGAATACCCCGAGAACCCCTGCCCCAGTTACAGGGCACGTTGTTCCCCTGCTTCAAGTCAGTTGTTCCAGAACTTCTCCTTTCCTTTGGAGCAGTTTCAATCTCTGCTCATTAGAAAAGGTACTAAGCCACTCTCTACCAGAGCTGAGAGATCCCCAAACTGGACGGAAAAATCTGGAATGAAACTCCCTTGGATACTGCCTGCCACTCGGACATCACACTCAAAGGAAAAGGCTCTTGGACATTTGTTTGGATTTAGTTGTCTTTTAGTTTCAAATTATGTTCAAGGAGGTTTAACAGTAACAAGATCAAGTAACTTGTTATGCGCCAAGTACTGTCAACAGCTCTGCTGGGCTGACATCACTCCACCTTATGAATAAAGTAAGGCTCACAGAGATGAAATGATCTACCCATGGCCATAAAGCCAGTAGGGAGGCAATCAGCGATTCAACCCACTCTGCTAGAAATAAAAGCAGCACTTTCTGGGCCCCCTCCAGAGCCCGACGATGAGGCATATGAACCATAGGGAAGGGCAGGGACTTGGGACAGTGTCCTGTCTAAGGGCAGGACACTGGAACGGTTGTGCGACAGCACCTCGGGGGCTGCAGAGGGTGGTGTGGACTGAGGCAGAACTAGACCAGCTGGACGAAGAGCAGAGAAGCTGAAAGGCCCAGTGGCAGACAAAGGCTCCTGAAAACAGGCTGTCCAGCCGAGGCGACTGCCTGCCACGAAACCAGGGCAGTGCTTGCAGGATTTATGAAGCCAGACACCAGGACCAAATTTCTGGAAGCATTACAGAGTCCCTCTTTCCTCTTTTGCAAAGACTTCTGAAGACCTGAGCGGAAATGTTTCTGACTGACTGAGAACCGAGGAAAGCCAGAGAATAAGGGCACTCCACCAGGCACCACTGGGTCCTCGCTCTGCCCTGAGTTGGTCCACGGCAAACCATGGATTGCAGCAGCAAACCATGGCTCCAATCCAGCAGGCACAGGAGCCAGGTGGAGCAGGGAGAAAAAGAAAGGGAAGCTGCAGACCTGGAACACGGCACCCTACGGCTCAGGACGCTCGACACTCAGGCTCTTGTGTCTCCTGCTTTGTGGAGTTATTCCGATACTGCAAAAATTCCCTGATCCTGGAAGCGGAAACCTCTCCTTAGTCCTCCTTCCTGCAAAGTACATGCGCCACCCAGCTTCAGTGCTCCCCTCTCCAAATGGGATGCTCCTTCAGATGCCTGGGCTCCGTCTGGTTCTCCGGCCTCTTCTCGGCTACAGGCAAGTGTGTCTCAGAGCTCTGTCCCTGGTGCTCTCCTTTCTCCAGCGCAGAGAGAAGTCTTACTCACGCCCATCCCCTCCAGCCCCCTGCCCCCCGCGCCGGTTCCGCTCAGAATAGAGCAACTATTCAGAGTAACCATTCGTAAGTAGGGTGCACGGAATTGCACTGTGTCCTTTGTTCATTCCTTTATCAAGGTCCTCTCTCCCAAAGGAACTAGGGATTCCCTGAACAATCCACTCTTTGACGCTTCCACTCTGGTCTTACTTCTGCCTGGAAGGCCTTTCCGGCTCTCTGGTCAGACTATCATTCAAACCTAGTCCAAGCACAGTCTGAGAGCCATTTCCTTCCTTTGTGATCCCCCACCCTTCCCCATCTCCCGCGGCCACAACACCAGGAAAGAGCAGTGCCCACCCTGTGCTGCTAGAGTGCCCGGACACAACCACACCCAGACTCCCATCAAGCCCATCTAGCCTCGAAATCTCCAGGCCTGCTCAGTCTGGCAGCCGCTTGGCTGATTTGCTCTAATTTATTTCACGACTCTTTACTGGCTACCTATCACGTGCAAGGCATGATGCTAGAAACCTGGCAAAACAAAGCAATTCCTGGAGAGTTCAAGATAGCTCTGGAGGCAGCGAGGTGAATGGAAGGAGCAGGGAGGCTAGTGCAGCGACACACAAACGTGAGACTCTGAACTAAGTCAAGCAGTGAGAACAGAGAGGGGACAGACAGTAGAGAAGGACAGAGATATTCTGTAAGAAGAACTTTCCCAAAACACCAGCAATACACTGGGGAAGGAAGGAGCTGGACAAAACCCCCAGAAAAATGTCCACTGGCTCAAAGAGTAGGAGTTCTTCAAACAACTGTGCTCAGATGATCCACAACAGAGCCCTGTTCTGTGCTTGGATGCCCATGGGGAGGCTTACTCTGCTCTTCCCGCCACCCAGAGAGCCTGCCCTCTCCCCCAGGGCTGGCTTCCGTCCCCCGCGGCGTCGCAAGCCTCCTGGTACGCCTGCTCAGAAGTCCCATCACCTCTGCTCGGCCACCCACCTGGCTACGCCAATGCTCCTGGGACTCCCCTTTCTCCCCAGGTCCACTGGACTGGCCTCATCTGAGCCAAAACCAATCAGACCATGAGTGCATGCTGCTCACACAGCCCTGAAAACAGAAGAGTGTCCAGGGAAGCCCTGGAAGACACAGCCACACATGAGGCCCTCCTCATGCCAAAGCTACTGAGGTTCGGAGGCAAGCATCTCAAGAGGAAGACAGAATCGTCTTTCAAAGCAGATGTACGGCCATATTGCATACATGCTAGAAAGGATCCCAGTTACATTTATTTGAAAAAGTCTCACATTAGACTCATCTTACCCTCCACCCCTAAAAACACCAAAGTACTTTTCCAACCTGATTATGAATACATGCAGTTTGGCATGTATGAATTTTAGACAAAACATACTTAAAGCAACAAATTACTACCACTTACTTGCTGGAAAATGCAGAGATTAGGAAACGTTCTAGAAATGTCCAGTTTAATAAGCTCCAGACTGGCTTCTCTGTCTGCTGCTGAAAAACCAGCATCTGTCAACAGATGTCAAAAGTCATTACATTCCTCAGAGGCACAAATGTGGATTAATCGTGAGGCTTTGAAGTTTTGTAAGAGCAAAATAAGGAAAAAAGTTTTTCAGATGTACATTGACCCAATTACATCGACTCACACAGAGTCCACCTTCAGAATATTACAGTTTGTAGAATTTCTTCCTTTAAAAAACAAAAAATACGGCATCAGCTAATGCTAGATCATCATTAGACGTTTTCTAGAGTCTGAAGTAAAAATCTAAATTGACATTACCTTTCATCAATAACAATCAGTGGAAAATAAGGACAAGGAGGGGAATATGCACAAATGAACTCCAAGCATAAAAAAGCCCACAAAAAGTCATTATGTGACCTTAAACATCGTTGTTAGAAACTTAGTATATGTAGGAACTATTGCAATATTACACTCATGTGTAATATTTCTAACAAATATTCATGAATAACATTTTAAATTTTTTCTAATATCACACAGTATAAAAAAAAAATCGGGAAAAATAATCACTTCTTAACCAACAGAAGTGATTATTCTTGTGCATAATGGGAAATTCTGAAAGCATAATCCAGCAAATATGTAGCATTCTTGTCTCTTTGCAAGTAGTTCTGACGTTCCTTTATAAGCCAACATTAATCTAGTCTTGGGCACCAGGCTACTCACATAAGCAGCTTTAAAAGAAACAATAGTGATTACGACCAGCCCTCCAGTGTGTTAGGACCCAAACACTTCTCAGGAACTGGTATGTTCTACTTCTTAGAAAAGCTTTTTTTCTTTAATTTTTGCTTTAAAAATAACTTTTCCGATGAAGCTTTTGTAAATCCACACTAACAGTCCTGCAGTTAAGTAAGCTTTCTTAGTGTGAAATGAGCACATAACTGACCAAAGCAGGCAGCCGCCGGTTGCAGAACAGGCCATACCTTCATTTTCCACTTCAGAGCCTCCCGTGCTAAGGGACCGCCACCTCTCCTTGGCTCGTGCAAGGCAGATGTCAAAGAGCTCTGGAAGGAAAAGCTCTGGGTGAGTCTTAGGTGCACATACGAGTTCTTTTCCTCAAAAACACGACAGGAATGCGTGTCTGTGTCCTTCAAATATTTAAATTCCACTACGATAGGCTTAATGCACTCTCAATAGGCGGCACAATTTCCACCAACCCAGGACAAAGCCATACACAAGGAAAGAATACACGCAATTCCACTATGCCTAGTATTTACTTCCATTACCCAACCCACCCACAAAACTCTCTTGTTTCGATTTGGTGGTGATTTGTCCACTGCCTCTACTAGACTGTGAGCTTGGAGGGTAAGACAGCGAAGGTCTCTCACGCTCGTCTACATCCAGAACAAACCACACTGGGATTGACTAAGAGCAACACCATCAATGAATATCTGACTGGCAGATGGAGGGACAAGCAGAAAATCCTCTGTTTCCACATGAGGACATGATGGAACGGCTCCACATCTGACACAGGGCGCCTGGTCCTGATCCTAGGAACAGCAGAGGCTTCAAAACAAGGACTCCTGCTGGTAGAGAAGGATCATGACAGCCTCCAGATCGCCACCATGTTTAGAGGTTCTTTTCTCAATGGTTCTTCTCTTGGGGAGTTTGGTACAGCCAACCAACAACACGTGCTCACACGTTTTACTAGTACCCACAGGCCTCCATGGTCTACTCATGCCCATTCCTCTTTAAAGAACAAATGTGAAGACGGAGCCACAGAGCTCTTTCTAGAGCGGTCCCGAGCCCATCCCAGTCCCAGGCACTTCCTGTGGTTCCTCGGGCTTTGGCATTTCTCAGGTCCCGGACATCTCAGATGACACCCACTCACTAACCTGTCACGGAGACTTCAATTGCAGCTATCCACAGAATTTTTATCACTTTATTTTTCCCATCATTACTTCAGAAAAATAAAGCAGAGCACATCTGCTCTGGGAAGCACATGCTATTTTATTAAACTGTAATTCAAATTCTAGTAACACTACTATAATCTAACAAGTTAAATCTTGATCAATAACCTTGTTCTCGCCTTGCTCTAGCATCCAATTTACAACTCCGCTGGTCTGCCATGGCAGGAGGGGCACAGTTATGAAATACAATTTCATAGTATCACTGTCCAGAGGGCAGCAACTCTGCACGAGTGCTCACAGGGCTCACACGTGAGCTGGTGGCTAGAGCACCCAGTGGAACCTCTGCCTATTGTCAGCCTCCAGGAGGCAAGCCAAGCTTTGGTCATTTTGGCAGGAGGTGGGTGATAACCACCGTGTGGCTATGACCACTAGGAACCACGTCCCAAGTGAGGCATGAGCAGTTAAGGTGCAGATGCTGGCAGTCTTGGAGTAAAATGGGTCAACATGTCAGAGCTTTAAAACTCTCCTCCATGCCTTTATTGGTGTGTGTGTGGGTGGGGATGGAAGGGGCCATGTGTAGAGGCTTATTCCCAGACTCCCTGCTCCAATTTCAAAGTACAAGATCTCTTTCTCGATTGCCTGAAATGCTTTCAATAGCATTGGTATCAGTTCCTTCTTGTATGTTTTGTAGAATTCTGTTGGAAAGCCATCTGGTCCAGGGCTTTTTTTTTGGTAGGTAGTTTTCTTACGACATAGTCAATCTCCTGGGTTGTTATTGGTCTATTTAGTCTCGATTTCTTCTTGTTTCAACCTGGGAAGGTTGTGAGATGTCAGAAAGTCCTCCATTTCACTTAGGTTTTCAAGTTTGTTTCCATACAAGTGTACATAGTAATCACTGATAATCTTCTGTATTTCTTTGGGGTCAGTTGGACTTGATCTTTTGCATTTCTGATTGTGTTTATTTGGGCTTTTTCTCTCTTTTTCTTGGTCAATCTAGTTAGGGGGGTCCATCAATCTTGTTTATCCTTTCAAAAAACTAACTTTTTGTTTAGTTGACTTTTTGCATTATATTTTTTTCTTCTATGTCCCAAATTTGGGCTTTGATTTGGGTGACCTGGATTCTTCTGCTGAAGTTAGGGTTTTGGTGGTCTTGCTTTTCCAGCTTCCTTGGGTGATTTGTTAGGTTGTTAACTTGTGATCTCTCCATTTTCCTCATGTGTGTTTGTAGAGACATAAATTTCCCTCTTTGTACTGCTTTCATGGCATTGTAGAGATTTTTGGTAACATGTTTTATTAAATCATTTTAAGATGCTAACAACATGTTGATACCCAAACCAGGTAAAGATCTAACAAAGAAAGAGAACTACAGGCCAATATCCTTGATGAACATAGATGCTAAAATTCTCAACAAGATTCTAGAAAAACAGATCCAACAACACATCTCAAAAATCATCCACCATGACCAAGTAGGCTTAATCCCCAGGATGCAGGCTGACTCAACATCTACAAGACCATAAATGCAATTAAATACATCAACAGATATAAAAACAAAACCATGAGTATATCATTAGACGCAGAAAAAGTTTTTTGATAAAATCCAGCACCCCTTCTTGATAAAAACCCTCGAACATCTAGGCATAGATGGAAGATACTTCAAAATAGTAAGACCATCTACGAGAAACCGACAGCCAACATACTGTTAAACAGACAGAAAATGGAACCATTTCCCCTGAAAACTAGAACAAAACAAGGATGCTCACTCTCACCCCTTCTGTTCAACAATGTATTGGAAGTTCTAGCTAGAGCAATCAGACAAGAGGAGGAAATCAGGGGTATCCAAATAGGAAAAGAGGAAGTTAAGTTATCCCTATTTGCAGACCACATGATTATATACCTCAAAAACCCAAGAGAGTCTGTCAAAAACCTTGCACTGATAAAAGACTCTGACAAAGTCTCAGGATATAAAATAAATGTGCACAAGACAGTCACACCCCTATATACTATCAATAAACAAACAGAAACCCAAATGAAAAACACAATCCCACTCAAAGAGCCATAAAAAAATACCTTGGTATCTTCCTAGCTAGATAAATGAAAGACCTTTACAACGAAAACTACAGAACAGTGCTCAAAGAAATCAAAGAAGACACAAACAAATGGAAAAATATTCCATGCTGATGGATTGGAAGAATCAACATGGTTAAGATGTCCATCCTACCCAAGGTAATCTACAGATTTAACGCAATACCCAAGGTAATCTACAGATTTAACGCAATACCCATTAAATTACCAGCAGCCTTCTTCTCAGATCTGGAAATGACAATACAGGAATTCATATGGAAACATAAATGACCACCAATAGCCAAAACAATTCTCAGGAAAAAAAAAAACAAAGCGGGAGGCATCACACTCCCGGACTTTAAACTTTATTATAAAGCTACAATAAGCAAAACACCCTGGTATCGGTACAAAAACAGGCATATAGACCAATGGAACAGGACAGGGATTTCGGAAGCAAAACCTCAATTTCTCAACCAACTTATCCTCCACAAAGTCTTCACCATCAACCACTGGGGAAAGGAGAACCTATTCAGGAGAATCTATTCAGTAAATGGTGCTGGGAAAACTGGCTGACCACATGCAGAAGATTAAAACAAGACTCCTACCTATCACCATACACAAAAATCAACTTCTGAATGGATCAAAGACCTAAACGTAAAACCTCAAACTATAAGAACCTTAGGAAATGCAGGAGACACCCTTATAGAAATTGGAACTGGCAAGCAATTCCTGATCAAGACCCCAAGTACCCTTGCATAAGAGATAAGATAGAAAAATAGGACCTCATCAAACTGACAAGCTTCTGAAAAGCCAAAGAAACCAACAAGAGAGCCCACAGACTGAGGAAAAAACATTTGCCAACTGTACATCTGACAAAAGTCTAACATCGAGGATCTACAAGGAACTCAAACGTGCTGAAAAGAAAAAAACCAAACAGTCCCATTACAAAGTGGGCAGAAGATATGAACACATATAGATACTTCTCAAAAGAAGACATACAAGCAGCCAACAGGTATATGAAAAAATGCTCAGCCTCACTAGTCATCAAAGAAATGCAAATTAAAACCACACTGAGACACCTAACTCCAGTCAGGATGGCCATCATCAATAACTCAAAAAACAACAGATGCTGGAGAGGATACAGGAAGAGGGAACCCTTCCACACTGTTGGTGGGAGTGTAAACTAGCACAACCTCTGTGGAAAACAGTGTGACCATTCCTAAAAGATCTACAAATTGACCTTCCATACAACCCTGCAGTCCCTCTCCTGGGAATATACCCAGGGGAACTCAAATCACTCTACGAAAAAGATACCTGCACATGTATGTTTATTGTAGCATTATCCACAATAGAAAAATCATGGAACCAACTGTACTGCCCATTGAAAGAGGAATGGGTTTTAAAAATGTGGCACATATACACGATGAAATATCATGCAACCATATAGAAGGACAAAATTATGAACGTCACAGCAACTTGGATGATCTTAGAGTCTCTAATACTGAGTGATCTATCACAGAAACAAAGAACTGAGTACCACATGTTCTCACTCACAAGTGGACCTTGAACAATTATCATAATCCTATAAGAAAGGAATTGGCAATAATGGGAAATTGCCAGGGGAGGGGGGGTGGGACCGACAGTAGTGGGAAACTGCCAGGGGAGGGAGGGCACACCTCATCAACAAGGGTAACTGCATAATGAACATCTGTATATCTAACCCTGAATTTTACCCCACATTTCTTAAATTAAAAAAAATTTTTTAAAGTACAGAACTAACTCCCTAACAGCGAAGTTTCAATAGTACTATTAAGTTGACTTTCGGTAAATTTCCAATTGTACAACCACAAAAAGAGCAAAAACTCTGAAGCTTTCCAAGTCACAACATGGGCTTCAGAATCAGCACAAGGCTAGAATCAGAATTCTGGTCTCCCACACACTAGCTATGAGTCCTGGGACAGAGTCTCTGGCCTTTCCAGGGCGCTAAACGTTCTCAAGAAGAAAATGAGAACAGCATCACGGTTAATATTAAATAAGACATGTAAGTAAAGAACCTACTATGATGCCTGGTACCACAACCAGAATTCAAGGCTATTTGTGCTCTCACACCATCCTCGAAATGCAGTAAAACTGAGATTAAGTAGGGTCCCATTAGGTGACACGCACTCGCACAAGTATTTCTTGAGGCTCCTGCCACATGCAGAGATGTGGGCTGGAGATAAGGAACAGGGCCCTGCAGCTTCCTGAGCATCAGTGCTAGTGGAGGCCACTGACACCGACCAGCTCATCAGAAGAACACACACAATTCGAACAAAAAGAGTCGATATCAAGGTTTAGAAAGACATTTAAGATGTAACTGATTAATCAGCTGTTTAGCCCAATCTACTATGGGTCCACAGAATTTTTCTCTTTTTTTTTTGAGTCGAAGTCTCACTCTATCACCCAGGCTGGAGTGCAGTGGTACAATCACGGCCACCACAGCCTCGACCTGCTGGGCTTAGGTAGTCCTTCTGCCTCAGTAGCCGGAACTACAGACGCACACCACCACGCCTGGCTAACTTTTGTGATTTATTGTAGAGACGAGGTCTCACCAAGTTGCCCAGGCTGGTCTCAGGTAATCCTCTTGCCTCGGCTTCCCAAAGTGCTGGGATTACAGGCTAAACCACCAAGCCCGGACTGTTTTTTGTTTTTAAAAGAAGAGATGGTGTCAGTCTGTCACCCAGGCTGGGGTACAGTGGTGCAATCATAACTCACTGCAACCTTGAACACCTGAGCTCAAGCAATCCTCCCGCCTCAGCCTCTCAAGTAGTTAGGACTACAGGCATGAGCCACTACACCCAGCTAATTTTTCATCTATTTTTTGTAGAGATGGGATCTCACTATGCTGCCATCTCGGCCTCCAAAATTCTGGGATTAAAGGCGTGAGCCACCAAACCCACTTCCCTCTTCAGGACACCACTGCACAAAAGCCAGTCACCCAGCCAGCTGACGTACCTCAAGGGGAGACCCTATCTAGGCCAAAGTTAAGTAAGTGTTCAGATAAAAATAATAACCAAAGCCCCAGTTAGAGAATGAAGATACAAACTAACTGTTTTAAACCCCAAAACTGCATATCAACTCCTTGAGCGGGTACTGGGCACCAGAAAGAAGAGCAGGAAGTCGTCCCTGACCTACTGCAACTTACACTGCAGACGAGGGGGTTACAATGAAAGGAACAGCCACATTTAAGCACTCAGTTTGAAATCTGTGGGCTCCTGGCACCAATTTCACTCTAGCCGCCAGGACACATTAGAAGTGAATCCAGTCTAGGGGAGGAGGCACAGACACAAACAGCAGATGCAACCCAGCGCAAGACTGGTGAGCATGGTTCTCATTCTTTGGTCCCCACAGAAGCCACCAGAGCCCCAAGGACCCCAGTCGCAGCCAGTACGCTGTCCCCTCTAAGCTGCCTGAAAAACAATCCCACGAAACACCAGCAGGCACCCTAGTACAATAAACACCTCCACAGCAAGAACCACCTGCCCCTTCCGCTCTCCTGTCTCGACCAAGCTTTGCCTGCACAGGACTTTGCTAAGCGGTCCTCAGGTACCTCACACTGATACTGAGACCCACTTTTGCTGGCCCCCAAGCCAGAGCTTTTGTGCTCAGCCATCAGGTAACTGACTCACCTCAGACCGAACTGGGCCTCCCCACTGCCCCTCTCTCCTGAAGGATACAGTCTCCTGGCCTCTCCAAAGTCTCAGCTTTATGGCAATGGTTGACACTCTTCCCAACAGGGCACAAGGAAGAGAAGACGCCGCGGGACCCGGGGGGTTGGTTCCCAAGCCTGAGATCGTGCAAAGCCACTCACCGTGGGTGATATTTAGCTCGTTGCCAATGGCTAAGCTCCAGACTTTGCCTCTCACACTTGGAGGAATTCCCTGCCACCATAAATCGCGAACTTTCCTAGAGCACCACCTAAACAGAAATGGAAGCATGAGTTTATCAGTTTGTTCTCCACAAAGACTTATTTATCTACCTGTGTGCCTTGCCCCGAACCACCAGGAGCGAGGGATCCAGAGTTGGACACGGCACAGCCCCTGCCTGCGGAAGCGTACCGTCCAGGGTTCTCCAAAGATCAGGCCGATGATCACCTTCCACAGGGCAACTACGTGACAGATGTGAAAGGGGACAGCCCAGCAGTGAGCACCACAAAGCAGAGGGCCCAGGGCACCATTCCAGAGCCAAGTCCTGAATGACCGGTAGCAGTTTAAGCACATGGAGGATGGGAAGAACTTTCAGAGCAGAAAACACAGAAACACACAATAGCTGGGCCTCTCCAGGGGCTGCCAGTGGCTGGGAATGGATGAGGAGTACCAGGTGGCGCGGTGGCAGCGCTGGAGGTGGAGGCAGAGGTGGACCCAGCAGGGAGCCAGCCGACAGTCACTGCACTACCACACACGGGCAGAACACCCAGATGTGAGCTGCCAAACTCTAGCTGCTGACTCACAACATTCTGGACAGTACAAAGTCATCTGGATCTGCTGGGCACAAACCACACCAACTGCCAAAAGCCCAGACAGACGCAAACGTGCCACGGGCACCTGCAGTGCTTCTAGGCACAACACAGCTGGGCAGGGCAGGTCTGGAGGCTGCGGGAACCAGGCTGCATCCTTGTTCCACCCCTACCTGCAGCATCTACAGCAAGCTGTTTTCCTCTCCCAGCCTGTCATCCTCCCCAAAGTCAAGATGATAAAGCCAACCCCAAGGGTGAGGGTGAGAGTTAAGTGGGATAACACACAGAGGCACTGCACCCACCACACCGCTGGCAGTCAATGTGCAATCAATGGGGGCTGCTGTACGTGTGCATGTGCTCAGGTCACATCCAACACAGGGCGGTGGAGAAAGGACCGGGGCGGACTCTGCTGCCTCCCAGGGAGCAGCAAGGGTTTTGAGAACCGCTATTCTTGCTGCCGGGTCCCGTCGAAAGATAAGGGCCAGGTGTTTCCTGGCAGCATCAAGCCTTCTGAGGACACTGCCTAGAAAAGCATGCTCTGGGCATATTTCCTGGTGGAGACCCTCCACAGGAATGTCTGTCCCCGCAGTCGAGTGACACCCTGGTGAGCATCACAAGTCAGTCTCCAACACCCTGACATACAGGAGGAGAGCCAAAGGGAAGCTGGTATCCCAGCTCCCTGCACACAAGCCAGCCCCTACCCATTGTGAACACGCAGGAAGGAAAACAAGACCTACGGCTGTCCCCCAGATGTGAGATGACAGCAGGTGTCAGACTCTGCCAGGTGCATACCCTACTGGACACTGGGGGTCATCATCAAAGAAGACCTAGTCTCCGCCTTCAAAGAGAGGAAGATAGAAGCTTGAACAGACAGTTGTATGCACCCAGAGAAGTCTTCTACAGGTATCCAGAGCTGAGGTGGGGGCAGCAAAGCCTTCCCTGAGGAAGAATGAGCTTTGAAGAACTCACAGGAGTGAGCTGGATGAGGAGGTAAGGGCAAGAGCACTGTAGGCACAGAAAAAGGAACACACAAAGGCTCTGAGGCTTAAAAGCAGCAACACCTATAGGTGGCTCCCTAGGGAGAGAGAGGGCTTTGCCCACGTGGAGGGAGATGAAGGGTGAGGCTGCTGAGGGAGGGCAGGCCACAGCACACAAGGTCCTGTCAGCTAAGCTAAGGATTCAGATTTTACAACGAGATTCACAGGAAGTTAGTGACATTTTAAGGAGGGAAGTGGCACAGACTCATGCTTTAGAAAGATGGCCCAGGAGAGGAGTAGAAGGTGAACTGGAAAGGAGGGGAAGGGGTTTGTCACATTTTCCAGACAAGGGACAACAAGGGCTGAGCCAAGGCAGAGAGAAGGAAGACTGCAATGTAAACTCCTTGCATCAAAGTCTGTACTATGGGCCACAGCTGAGACCTATGGATTTGAGAAATAAATGGTCTAAAGCGGTATCCACAGTGTCGTATCTTACATTGTTTCCCAGTTGGGTAAAATCTCGTTATTCCAAGTAAGGACAGCATTTCCGATGCTTTCTTCTACTCTGCATCTTTCTTCCAGCTGCTTCTTCCTCCGCTGGGCTTCTTTCAGCTCTAGAAATCACAATTTTTTTTAAAAAAGCTATTAACTAATATCCACCATATTCAAGTGAGGTGATTTTTCTCAGAGTCATGCTGCAAAAACACTAGAAAAATGGCATCGAAGTAGAGCAAACATCCACCCCTGAGGCTCACATCCTATCCTCTGGGTCAGAGGATGCCGGAGTGTTACCCACCCTTTGGTAAGCTTAGGTGTAACATACATACAGAGAAGTATACAAGTAAGAAGACAATCCAGTTAACGCAAAACAGAAAAATCCTTGAAACAACCGTCCCAACCAAAACAACAGACTAACTTGAACATCAGAAGCCCTTCCTGAGCTCTCAGTCCCACTCCCTTCCAAAAGTTCACACTTCTAATGGTTTAAAGCACTACTCAATATATAAACAGCAACTCTGAGAAATACCACAAATTTAGTTTACATATACCTTTTTATTATAGTAAAATGTGTAAGATTTACCATTTTAACCATTTTCAAGTATATAGTTCCGTGACATTAAGTACATTCACACTGTTGTACAACCATCGCCACCATCACCAGGACTTTCTCATTTTCCCAAACTGAAACTCTATACCTATTAAATATTAACTCCTCATCCATCCTGTCCTCAAACCCTGGCACCCATCATGCTATCTACTGTCTGTCTGTCAATTGGACTACTCTAGGGACTTCGAGTAAGTAGAGTCATACAAATCTGTCCTTTTTAGTTCTGTTCTGGTTCATTTCCCTGAGTATGCTGTCCTCAGGGTTCATCCATGTTGTAGCGTATGTCAGAATTTCCTTCCTTTTTAAGGCTGAATTTTACTACATTGCACGTATCACGTTGTATTATATATATACTTTTTAAATATCCTAGATGTGTGTATCCTAAAAGTATTATATATACCAAAAAGTATATATCCTAAATGTATTATAGTATTACTATATATCCTAAGAGTATTATAGTATTTAATACTAAAAGTATTAAAGTATTAGGATTACTATCCTAAAAGTATTATACATACTTTTTAAGCATTGCAAGGGATTTTATCAAATCCATTCACATCTTCACGTAAATAAGAAAAGCCCAGGGAAGAAAATCTGCATGTCACTAATGCTGAAGCATTCTCTAGTTTAGTATTTTTAGACTATACAGTCTCTTTTTTCATGTTAAGTTTAAAGTGTTATTTTCTTGAGTAAAGCTACCAGGAATGGATAGTAGAAGCATGCATTATCGTTGGAAAATTATAAATTTCAAAGAAATAAAGCATTCATCAAAGTTCAGGTTCTATAACTTCAAAAGGTAAAGAAAAAATATCCAGGAAGACACAAAATCTTTTGCTGCCTTATATAAGCCAACATGTGTGAATCGCATTACCTCGTTTTTTGGCCTGAACTACCATTTCTTCATACTGCTGTCTGTGTTTCTGAGCTTCTTCAGCTGGTTTTGCTGGGAGATTTCTTGATAGGAAATAAAAGAGTTTTCACCATTATATGTAAATATCAAATAAAAGCCTTTGAGAAAAAAGCCTGAAGCATTATTTACTAAGAAATATAAGGCTCAAAGACCGAAAACTAAAAATTTTAAGATTACACAGTTTATAAATCAAAAATACCTTATCACAGAAGTAAAACAAGCTCCCTGTAAACGCTGAACTATCAAGATCAGCGGGAAGGAGAAAATAACAATTATCTACAATTGCAAGAGAGAGAAACACTTAGTCTCTTGGGATATTTTCAATTCATTCTCCAAAGAAACTTTGATTTGACCACAATATACTAATAACTGTCAACACTTACTCTTTGAAGCAGGGTGTCTTGACAGAACATGTTATACATATATGTGAATATATTTCCTGGTCAGATTTTTTTTAAGTGTGCAAATTTCTTATTAGCTATGTGGTTGTTTAAAAAAAAAAAAAAAAAAACTACGAACATACCATAGCTCTAAGCATCTAAACAGCAAATACACCTTCAAACTCCATTTAAAAAAATAAAACGCATGCTCTCTTTATGAAGCATGCTGGTGACTCTGCTGGCACTGGACTCACCCGGAGGGCAGCAGTGTCTGGCTGCCTGTGCCCCTCATATAATGCAACCCACAATCCCTGGGACATTCTGAACTTGCTGCAAGAGAATGTGGCAAGCCCCCCAGTTCACGTTTCAGAGCATAAAAGGATCAGTCTTTACAATGCTAAGGCTTTCACCAATGGTCTCTAACTTTTCAGTCTTCCACTTGAGGGTTTCTCTCCCTACACACTCACAGTTCTCAAGGACCAAGGATTAACAGTGGAAGACACGTCTTTAGATTTCACTCATTTTAAATTTCAGGGATGGCAACGACCTTACAAATTAATTACAGAGGGTTTACAACCTCCCCCTGCTCCCCCCCCGCTTTTTTCTTTTTTAAACAAGGAAACTTCTATTCAAGCACAATATTCTATGGAAACTCAATGCTTAATTAACCCTTTGCACTCGGTGACAACTCAAGGTCCACCTACCAGCAACTCAACTGCACTTTTTTACAAATAATGAAAAATGAAGCACTTCATATTAAACAGCATAGCACTGGAACCAATTATACTACTGTAATGACATCTGGCTTATCATGGAATTTTGGACATTGAGGAACTTACTTATGACAAAAAATTAAAATGTTCTATCTTATACTTTTCTAATGTGTGGTAATGTGAAACAGTCACCAACATACATTGCAGGTCCACTGATACATGCTGTACGATAGTAATTTGTTAGACGTCTTCCACTTGGTGTTTTTCTATTCAAGCAGATAATGCAGTCTTGTTTTCTTCCCCCCACATTAATAATATGTAATTTATTGTACAGTCTGTTGTTCAAAGGAGATACGGGAAGACAATTTGAGATTCCTAAAAAATCACTTTTCAACTGATCTATCTAACAAATTTCAAATAAGACAAAGGTTTTTCATTGTTTTTGAATGGAAAACTTCAAGAAAACATACATTTTGAAACATTTACACTGGCATAAGTTTGTCCTGTGTAACCATGAGCAATCTCGTTCTGTACCCTTAGAGGAGACATCCGAGTGGTTTGCTAGATTTACAATGTCCCCTCAGAGGGAACATCCAAGTGCAAAGGGTTAAAAATAGGTGAGTTATGACCTGGTCCAATGAAGCAATCCTTTGTACTTCACTACAGTCTTCAAACACTATTTCTCATGACACAGCTAGAAACCAGAGACCAGAACCTGCCTAAAACCACCCGTGTCCTGCTTAATGCAGATCCCAAAGAAGCCAGCAGCTGGTCCAGAAACTGTCCTCTGATACCGAGGCACCTCCAAAACATCCACTTTAGAGTCCACTTCCCGGTGCTTCTTGGAGTTACAAATCAGTCCATCATTTACGACAGCTGCTTATTTTAAAATGCTGTATTAAAAGGAAAAATCACTTGAATGGACAGTCCTGGTCAAAACTTCTATGCTAAGGGACACTTTCCAAATTAGTCATTTAATATCACTGTAGAACACACGTTAACACGGGGACTAATTCATGATTATAGCTGCCTCTTCTTCTCTAGCTCTGATCCTAGCTCTAGAGAAGGCAATTAGCAAGTTGTACCCATCTACTAAAGCAAACACTCTACAGAGAGTCTTCTTCAACTCACGCTGGTCTGTCTTCAAGGATGAGTGCAGTGGTGGAAAGTGGCTCAAAATCAAGATTCTTCCTCACATTCTGCTTTGGAGAGGGTGGCTTGCTAGGTCTTCCAGCCTTGTCTTCATATTCCTAGAACAAAGAAACCAGGGATGACTCTGGGCCTGGCCATTTCTACTATAGGATGTCCTGAAAACAAGAAAGTTGTTTTGTAATGAAAGCCCTTTACGATAGCTTTGAGGGTGATTCACTGAAAATCTTTCCTGCTATTCAGAAGGAAAACCACTGACTAAAGGGGCCTTACAACTCCAAAGCTGAGACTGCTGCTTTATGAGGACCGTGTACTTCCCCTGTTTGTGGGGAAGTTAGGAAGGATCACATCATCAAAGCTGCCCCTTTGCCACGGGTCTCCTGTCTTCTGGGTAAGAGGCATGTTTCTGTCTTCTGGACGCTGTAAGTTTTAACCGATAATTATAATGGCCCCTGGGAAGCCATCACTGCAAACTGACACATGATCTGCCATGCACTGAAATCTAATAGCAGCCTCCCCACCAACGGGTCACCGATCCACTGCACAGACTGCAACTACCAAAGCTTTGTCCCACCTCATGATTCACATTCCAAAAACGCAGCACAAGAGTTCAGGAGAGTCAAGCAAGTAGGAGCTTCTGAAATCATGTGTCGGTGTCCTTAGCTCTCTGCAAACTCAAAAGCCAGCATTTGCTCCTTGCCTACCACAGACAAGGTTCTCAGGACTGTTGCTTGAGGGAAGATACTCTAGTTGAGAAGACAGGACAAACAAATGTGGAGTTCACCTAAGATTTCAATCGCCATTTTAGACAGCGAGAGCACTGTCATGAGGTGGCAATTAATTACTAAATGAATCTTAAGGACACTAGTTGTCAAAAGGGGCATTACTGGTAATATTATTTGGCAAGCAATTATTCTCTCGGCCTCTAAAAAGTAGAAAGAAAAAACTGTTTCCTCAAAACATGTAAACTATAAGAAGGGAGTAAGCAGGGCTCGGTGGCTCAGCCTGGAATCCCGCGCCTTTGGGAGGCTGAGGTGAGTGGATTGCCTGAGCCCGCGGGTTCGAGACACGCCTGGGCAGTGAGACCTCATCTCTACAATAAATCAAAAAATCAGCCAGGCGTGGTAGCACAGGCCTGTAATTCCGGCTACTTGGAAGGCTGAGGCGGAAGGATCGCCGGAGCCCAGCAGGTTGAGGCTGCGGTGGCCAAGAGCGGCCACTGCACTCCAGTCTGGGCAACAGAGTGAGACTCCAACTCAAAAAAAAAAGAAGGGAATATACCAAGAAGCAGGTAGGTGGGGCAGTTTCTATACATCCGGACACACAAGGTTAGATGTCTTAACACAGTTTACTCTGACTTAAAATGGCTCCACTAAAACTATAAAATTACTTCCACTTACCAAAAACTAAGAAAATAGACCCACTTCTTCATGGATTCAAACATCAGAGTGTCTACAATGTACCAGGTACGTAGCATGACAACATGGCACTAGCTATCGGGAAGCTTCAAGTCTAGTACCTGAATGTCAAAATCTTCAATTTTATAGGAAATTTACCAAAAGCTATGTGTTGAGAAAGATTCTAAATCATGCTGCATTTTAACAAGAATTAGTAACAAATACCCCATAATGTGCTACTTTATCTCCCGAGCCTAGTCTAGTGAATCGCATGCCAAGGCCAAAGATGCTGGGCCCCAAAATTAGCTACCCCAGAATTTGCATGCCCATTTCCATTTGCTTTTGTGTGCTTTACACATGTCTCAGTTTATCTTCACAGCAACCTACCTGGCAGGTGTCACCCCATTTTACAGACAAGGTAACTGAGATTCAAAGTGAAGTGACCTGCTCCAAATTACACAGCCAGCAAAGGCTGGGCCTGCAGGACTCCTTCCACTCTGCCGCTCGGAGTAACCAAACCTCTTTTATGAACACATTTAAACCAACAGGTGTGTGGTTTTAGAGGGAAAAAGTTGAGTCCCATATGGGTCAGGTATGGGCTGTGGCCTCTAAAGCCAGACGGGTCTGGGAGCAAATTCAGATCCACCAACCACTAGCTGTGACCTCAGGCAAAGTACTTACTTCAAATACCTCAGCCTCATTGCCACATCTGCAAAATGGGAACAGCACCAACCAGAGAAGGCTATTGAGAGAAATGGGGAGGCACTGCAGCCTCCGGTGCAGGAGTGCTGGCTCAAGGGCAGCCTTGGCTGGTACATGCCAGTAGCTTCTTTTCCTCCTTTGGGCCTGAAACAGTTGTGTACGGCAGAAAGAATGCTCTGGTGCCAAACAATTAAGGGGTCCTGCCAAGCCCACAAATAGCCCAGATACGAAGAGTAAGAGTAAAAGAGGTGAACACTTTGAATTATGACCAAAACCATGAGATCACTGTAGCTGGAGCTTCTTACTATTGCCAACAAGCAGCAGCAGCAGCTGACAGGAATGAGCCAAGCACTGCCCCGGGGCTTTCCACGCTGAGCTGACCACCAACCCTTCACACCAGCCCTCTGAGAGAGGAGCTGCCTGCCCCACAGCACAGATGGAACACGGACATCAATGACTTTGCCCAGCTAGATCAGAAGCCAAGCACGACGGTTCTGCAGCCACATTCTCACCACAGAGTTCAGGCAAGCCACTCGCGGACATGAATTGGAAGTAATTTCACCATCCATATTCATTCCAAATAAAGCTTTCAGTCATGACAGAAATCTGTAATACTGAATTGAGCACACAGATTAGTGAGGATGCAGGGTCACATACTTACGTTTTAATCACATAGAGTGATGCATGATTAAAACAATACAAAATAATAGAGGAGGACGAGCCTGCCACACTGGAAATCCCAGGCAAAGCCTTTTCAAGATCCTAGTGGCATGTCAGTATCGGAATAGTGTAGGAAATGATCACAGGTCCAGCTCCGGACCCAGCCCTCCCACGGTTGCCGAGAGCTGTTGCTGACGATCCATGACAGACAAACCAACTTCAGAAACAAGAAACAGGACTGTTCACACCAAGGATCCTGGGAGGGGAACAAAAGGCTCCTGGAAAAGAACACTCAGTTACGAATTATCAGTGTTTGAATCAGCACGTGATGTGGCAAACGCTAAGACCACGAAGCAAAAAGCCTGAATTTTAAGTCCTGGCTTGCACCTTACGCCAGTCATCTTGCTTGACTCTCAGGCTGTTTCCTCTGCTGTAAAACAGCACCAATTATGCAAACCACTGTGGTGGTAAAGTGAGATGATATACATAAACTGGCCACGCCTCAAGCGCTGAGCCCTTGCTATATGCCAGGCAAACATCAGTGCAGCCCCATCTCAGTCCAGCTCATCATTCCAAAGTTCCTCTCGGCTCAGGACCAAGTTTTGAAGTCTCTTGGTTGACACCAAATGACAATGCCCATCTTTCGGTGCTCCTCAAAAGCCCTGCAGGCTAACAGGTAAAACACACTGCCCAGGTCTGCCCAGGTCAGCCCTCAAGTGAATTTAGGACAGGGATTCTTCAAAGTTCTAGCAGCAAATCAGTTTAAATGGTCATGACAGTATTTTCTAAAAAATTAAAAAATAAAACACAGAGTGCACACAGTAAGTTGGGCAGTCTGTCAGTTCTACACCTAGTTGTATCTGTGCAGTGAGTCTCGAGTTGTCTAACTGGCGTCGCCTCAAAGTGTCTAAGCCACTAATTCAGAAGCACAGCAGGTCGAAGTCCCTGCCCCGAGTAGTTTGTAAGGAATCATGCTGGGTATGACCAGACCCTAACAACAAGGCAGCAGCAAACAGAACAGGCCGTGCCTAACCAGTGGGTAAGTTGTGAGTGTGGCCTGAAGACCCAGCAAAGGTCAGAAAGCAGCAGCAGGGACTCAGAGTAACTGAGCCAGGAGTGAAAGAGATCCAGCAAGCAGGAGAGAGAGAAGGGGACAATGCAGAAAAGAAGAAGACCATTTGTCAAGTTGTTCTGCTCTAGATTTGATGGTCTCAACAAGTTACTCAGAGCTGGGGAGACAAGCCCCAAGAGAAGGAGAAAGAATGGCCTGTGAGTCCAAGAGAAGCGCCCAGCGGCGAGGGTTCTACTACGTGTACGATCTTTAACCATAGTGCTAATGGCAAGGAGAAGGGCACTGGACTCCTGAATTAGGCTTAAAATCTGTCAGCTAACAGAGAAAGGAAGGGAAAAAAAGCTTGACTCAACAAACATTTGTTTAAAGAGGAGGAAGATCACAGTTTTCAAATGATGAAAATAAAGTATTCCTGAGCCAGGCATGGTGGTACATAATCCCAGCTACTCAGGAGGCTGAGGTGGGAGGACCACTTGAGACCAGGAATTTAAGACTAGCCTGGGCAGCACGGCAAGACCGTCTCTACAGAAAAAGAAAGTATTCCTGGTGGAAAGGCAAGAGGGGTCATCAATGCTAATTACAAAATGGAAAAGTACAGTGAAAGTTAGCTAATGATCCAATAACCGGCCCAGCAGAAGCCCCCACCTTCCCGGAAGATGGCCCCTGGCTTCCTGGAAATCTATTTTAGTTAGGAGAAAGGGTCATCTGTCAAAACTTGGGCTCGAATCTCACTCAACTATCTACAGCATCAAAATTCACCTGTTAAAACAACCTGAGGGTTTAGAAGGTACCCTGTGGAATAAGGCTACCAACACAAGCAACACCATCCTTTTCATGGAACCCATTAAAAGACTGGCTTCAACTAAAGTCAGTGACAGCACAGCCACCACATCTGCACAGGCTGAGGACCCACGGCAGGGGAGGGTCACCAGGAGAGAGTAGCAGGCCTGGGTCTGAACCCCCACCACCAGCAATGTGACCTTGAGCATCTCCTCCACTGCCCGAGCCTGTTTCCTCATTTGTTACTCTACTTCGTGTGAAGATTAAATGAGAATGAATACGTGCAAAATGTACAGCCAAAGCATGAGCCCAGAAAAAGGACAGAAGTATGACACTCATTGTATTACTATAAAATTACTTTTCAAAATATTTTATTCTAAAAGGGGCAAGTCTGGAAAAAACAATAAGAGACGCAAGTGCCCAGCACGTCGCAGCTGGTCTAACACTTTGCCGTTTGTAACAGCAATTGTCTGGGAGGGAGGGGTGCTCT